GTAAGGGTATTGAGAAGCAATATTCCTCTGTTGAAGACCGGCCGGTCGATGTGAGCTATGAAATAAAGAAATTCTGGTTCAAAATCAAATCGTTCAAAATTTTGCGGCAGACGTTCGACGCACGTCTTTCATGCATCTCGCGAGATCTCGCAATTGTACAGAAAAGCCGAACAGAACAGCGACCTCGAATACTCAGTATGACCTGTCTAAAAAAACTATTTTGGTGTTGCGCTTGAGTTGTTTCTTTACATGGCATGATGCTGTTGAGCTGGGAGACAAAAGAATTCAAGAATCTGAGACAATTCACTGGTGTTATAATTTAGGTATTTCAAATAAACAGGATACACATCCTACTCGCTTAAGTTATTGTCGTGCAAAATTACCATTTAGTAATTGTTGTCAACCTGAACTTAGTAGCCAGAAATTACGGGAAATTGTCTCCGCCATAGATGAAATGAATGATTACTTGAAGAAAACAATTGATTTTGACCCGGTAGTTGGGCCCGATGCGTATACATGGTCGGAGCCATGTTGAAGCCCAACCCTATCGGAGTTCAACTCCAAGGGTTTACTGGAGAACAAACTTGGCTCAAGTTGAATGCATATAAACGGCCATTTTTGCTGGCTCAAGCCGTAGGGCTCCGATAAAATGCTGTCGTGTAAACGTAATGCGGAGTTTTCTTTTGAAGTAACGCATGCCACGCTTGTTTAGGTTATCAGTTCTTGTCGTACTGAGTAAAAGTTGCGGAGCAACAAGATTATCATTAGATCTCACAAAATAACGCGAGATCTATTCTTATTACAACCAACTATCACGATGCATTGCGAGACAGAAAGTGGCACATACGACAGTATTTGTCAGTGAATTGCAGTGAACTTTGAAAATGGCATTCACGTAAAATATTGGCGAATCTGAGGACGATAATTATGACTGGGAAGCTATTTTAGGAGAACATTTTGACGAGGACGTTGACGAAGATAATGACAATTTTTCTGAATAACTTGGCAGTAGTAGATCTTGTGTTTTCATTTCCTGAAATTAAGTATAAATAGAAATATACTGGGCTATTTTTATACAAAACTATGACGGAAGTCAAACAAAACCAGTGAAACTCGAAATAGCAATAATACTGACACACAACAGACCATTGAAACAGTCACTGAACAACGAATAGATCACGTACTATGAAGTTGAATGCGACAAAAATAATGCACCTCCAGTTTTTTACCGTTAACCGGATTACGCTGATACGCTGAGAGATATCATGTATATGACACTATCCCATGTTTCGGTACCCCGGAACACGGAAACAAACAGGTAACACACAAAGTGGTATGATCACTCGAAACTCAGGGATATGCTCTCTCTAAAAAAATATTGGAAACCTTTTGCAAAATCCGCAACAGCGAGAAATATCGTTTCAAATTTGCTCATTGTATATTCAAAAACTATTATATACTATACTAAGACCCTCGTTACTTGTAACTCACCTAATTGTTGGAAGATTCTTAAAATTCTTACACAGCTGCAAAGGTCAAAATGTCCACAAAGCATCTCCAGTTTTAAAAATGTTCAGATGTGTTTTACGAAGAAATGTGCAATGAGCGTGAAATGTGCAGAATATTCGGTGTTCGGTAAACTTAGACTGTGTCTTTGCCAATGCTACTGAGCGTGGCACACATAGCATATACAATTAAGTTTAAGTGTAAACATAGCAAATGAAATGACAGATTAACTAGTATATTGTTTGTTGGATAGTGTCATCATACTTCCAAAATGTCAATAAAATAAATATTAAAATTTTATTTAGTATTTACAGAATGTAATATAAGACACAATAATTTGTTAAGTTTTATAATTAGTACTTTGGAAAGTATAGGTTAGCTTAGCTTAAAGAACTACATTGATTGCACAGCATGTGTTCGAATTTCATTCAAGGCTGAGAAAAAAAATGTTTCTCGTTTCCGCACGCATCATTTTAACTACTGTGAAATACTTTATTTTCGCTGGAATTAATTTCCGCTGAAAAGGCTTTTTGGGCGTTTTGTATGGAATTTATTTTCACTGATTTTTGATGAGTTTAATGTGAAATATAGGAAAAAAAGTATATTCACTGGATTTTATTTTCACGGAATCACCCCTTCAGCGAAAATAGCGAAAATAAATTCCAAGCGAAAATAAAGTATTCTACAGTATGCGCCTCAGAGTTTTTTTTCCTTCTAAAGCATTCCAAAATGCGCTTGTACTCGCACTTGTCTAAAATTTCCCCCATTTTAGCTCAGTATTCAAAAAAATAAAAAAATCGCCTCTCCGCCTCATTTTAAAATTTCAAGAAAAGGAGAAACAGAGAATTTTTTTTTCCTGGCCTAAACAAACTACTATGCTGTTTAAGTTGCCGAGATGTTAGACAACTGTAGTGCTTTAAATGAGGAAAGAGAATGTTATAGAATTTATAACCCAGAGACCACTAACTCGATTATTAGTGCAAATCCAATATGGTTGGAAATCTTTTTTGCAAGAACCTGTTGCATCAATGGGAGATGACAATCATTACTCTGTGTAAGTGTGTAAATGGCTCTAAAGTATACACTACAAAAAGACACTACATTAAAAACATTATGGATCTGTGTTTGGTTGACAGACTTAGTTGAATGACTTTTCTTTTTTCAAATTTTCCACAGGTTACAGCAGGAATTGATGACACTTATGGTGAGTCCTGATTAGCTACTCATGTAACTCAGACCTTGAACTTTGACTATTGATTTCGTCAAGGTGCAATTTCAAAAATATGACAAGACGATGGACATTCTTGGAATATTCATGGAGCAAACGACAAAGCATACAATGGACATTTTGTATTTATCTAAATTAACCTCCAT